TAGTTTTTATGGATTTTTTGCTAATACTTAACACCCTTTCGCTCTATTCACCAAACTCAATCCATATTTGTGGTCGAACAAGTTTCACACAACAACACATCTTCATGGCTTGTGAATGCCTGGCCTATTGCCGTTGGTACCTTCTTTTTTTAGTGTGCAATATTTGCCCGACATCATACATATATAGGGGAATCGATATCACTATCACTCAAGTCAAAATGCATAGGCCCTTGACAATCATGAATCATGTTCATTATGAATGTCCTATAGTACGAATCACAATGAAACTATCAACCCTAGATTGATCCAATGGTATGTGCAAGAAATGAACAAAGCGATACAATGACATACGAGGCAAGAATGTGTCAGGTCTTAGTCATCCGTTTCATCAAACAACACAGGGGCATGCTCGGTGCCGGTGTTTCCCGATATTGTTCATTGACTTTGTTGTTGGGGCGAGTCCTACACCATTTCCTTGGCAAATAGTGTCATGCATCCAGCGATCTGGAATGACCCATTCAGATGCCGAAACGGAGTCAGGCGTAGCAGGCGCCTTGGTCGTTCTTGCGGTCACGACGAATGGCGCAGAGGTGGTCGCCAGACCGGACACGCCCAAGTCCATGTAACCGCCTTCTTCACAACTTCCTTCTCTGCAGCTTACCGGACACGCTGTAGGCACGCCGATCCCATCAACGATGTTCTCCGCCTTGCAACGGTCGGGACCCCAACGGACTCCGTCGAGCCATCTTCCCGAATGTGCATCCGGGCACCCCCAAAACCACCCCACACATGAGTTGGGTTTGAGAGGTGTTGGACAGCCCGGACATTTGGACTTGCTTTGGGGGTTCCGGTTAGGTGGCGATTTTTGTGACCAGGTTGTCTGTCCGGATGTTTGGAAAGGGTTTGAGGGGTAAGGTTGGGTAGAAATTTTCATGTCCGGGCTGTTCATCCAAATGTTTGGGGAGGGGTGCAGTTGGGTAGCTATTTTCATGACCGGGATGTTCGTCCAGACATTTGAGAAGAGTTTGAGGGGTGCGGTTGGGTGACACTTTTATGACCAGACAGTCACCGGATTATCCACCCGAACGTTTGGGGAGGGGTCTGGTTGTAGATGCTCTAAGGACTCTCCCAATGCAGTGGCTCTTAACTCGTCATTCTAAGTAGTGGTAATTTTATAGAGAAAAGCACCCCAATGCATTGTCCCTTATCCGTCGTTTCCCATTAATGTTGCATTCAATTGGTTTAAAGCTCGCATGTGCATCTTAATATTGTGGTGTAGTTGTAGAGAGAAGAGAATGTGAGAAACAAAGGAAAAGAAGCTACAATGTATGAAAGCATTACCTACACTATAGAGAAATGCACTAAGATTTGTATCTTCACTAAGAGCAAGTAGAATGAGGTGTTGTAAGCAGGTTATGAAGGTTTAAATATATTTTTTGTTGAGTTGAAGGAGCAGGGCCAGCTCTATGTTTTGGAGGGCCCTTTGGGCGAACTTGACAACTTGGCCCCCTAATACTATATGTATATGTTTGTGTTTGCACACTATATAAACATGTATATGTCTAACTTTATTGTAAAATATGAAGAATAAATTTTCAGCCATGCATCAATAGTTTGAAATGTCTAATAATAATTGTTGGGAAATATCATATTATGATAGAAAGACTAAAAATAGCAAAATGAAACTGCCGTGATTACCTCAAATAAGAACCAAATTCTAGTGACCCTGTCCGGGATTAGTTTCTTGCCCTTCTTCTTAATTGACATTGACATTTCTTGAAGATGAAAAACTTTTTTAAAGTACACTCTTGTCTTTCAATTGAGGATTGCTTTCCTTCCCTTTTCTTCTTTTTGCAATAGCCAACAAATGTCTAAGACTAATGATGTAGAATTATGATGAGAAACTAGTACATAGAATTAGAAATTTGCACATCAGTAGGTCAACAACTTAACAATCCTATAACATGCATACTAAAATTGGGGATGAATGAATCATGTACGTATTTTTGAAAGACTGAGAAGACAATGATTGATGAACTCGCCGATGAAAATATGCCCTAGAGGCAATAATAAAGTTGTTATTATTTTATTTCCTTATTCATGATAAAGGTTTATTACCATGTTAGAATTGTATTGACCGGAAACTTAAATACATGTGTGGCTACATAAACAAATATCGTGTCCCTAGTGAGCTTCTACTAGACTAGCTCATTGATCAGATATGGTTAAGGTTTCCTAACCATAGACATGAGTTGTCATTTGATAACGGGATCACATCACTAGGAGTATGATGTGATGGACAAGACTCAGCCGTTAGCATGGCATATGATCGTTCAGTTTATTGTTACTGCTTTCTTAATGTCAAATACATGTTTCTTCGACCATGAGATCATGCAACTCCAGAACTCCGGAGAAATGTCTTGTGTGCCGTCAAACATCACAACGTAACTGGGTGATCATAAAGGTACTCTACAGGTATATTCAAAGGTGTTTCTTGGGTTGGCATGAATCGAGACTGGGATTTGTCACTCCGTGTAACGGAGAGGTATCTCTGGGCCTTCTCGGTAATACAACATCACAAGAAGCTTGCAAGCAAAGTGACTAAGGAGGTAGTTACGGGATGATGTATTACGTAACGAGTAAAGAGACTTGCGGTAACGAGATTGAACTAGGTATGGAGATACCGACGATCGAATTTCGGGCAAGTAACATACCCACAGACAAAGGGAACTACGTATGTTGTCATAAATGTTTGACCGATAAAGATCTTCGTGGAATATGTAGGAACCAATATGGGCATCCAGGTCCCGCTATTGGTTATTGACCGGAGAAGCGTCTCGGTCATGTCTACATCATTCTCGAACCCGTAGGGTCTGCACGCTTAACGTTCGTTAACGATATATTATTATATGAGTCATGTATGTTGGTGACCGAATGCCGTTCGGAACCCCGGATGAGATCACAGACATGACGAGGAGCTCTGATATAGTCTGGAGGTAAATATTGATATATGGGATAATAGTGTTTGGTCTCCGAAAAAGTTCCAAAATTCACTGGAAGGGGTTTCAGATGTTTCCCGAAATGTTCGGGTACGAGAACACATTATTTGGGCCAAGGGGTAAAGCCCACGAGGCTTTAGGAAGGCGCAAAAGGAGTTTTGCGGAAGGCAGGGGGGTAGACGCTAGGGACCCTGGCGTCTAGGGGCATACGCCGAGGACCCTGACGTCTGGTCCTGGAGTCCGAGAAGGACTCTTACTATGCTTGCCAAACCGACTTTGAGGAGGCTCTTTCTCTAAGAAACGACCCCAAGGCTCAACATATAAATAGAGGGACAGGGCTAGCACCCGGGACACATCAACATTCACCAAGCCGTGTGCCGGCAACCCCGTCCCCTCTAGTTTAATCCCCCTTCTAGTTTCCGTTGTGCTTGACGAAGCCATGCGAAAATTGTTCTTCACCACCACCGTCACCACGTCGTCGTGCTGCCGGAACTCATCTGCTACTTCCCCCCTTCTTGCTGGATCAAGAAGGCGAGGACGTCATTGAGCTGAACTTGTGCTGAATGAGGAGGTGCCGTACGTTCGGTGCTTGATCGGAACGGATCGTGAAGGTGTACGACTACATCAACCGTGTTGATAAACGCTTTCGCTTAGCGATCTTCAAGGGTATGAAGATGCTCTCCCCCTCTCGTAGCTATGCATCTTCATGGATAGATCTTGTGTGTGTGCGTAAATTTTTTTTTGTTTTCATGCAATGTTCCTCAACACTCACGCCGTAGCACCATCACAGCCTCACGGATATCCGGATAGCAAGAGCAAGATGGGCCAACGGCGGCACGACAAGAGCAGTCAGCAGCTTGCTATAGCGGCGGCAGCGGCAGGGCCTGGGCGGCGGTTGTGAGCTGAAGAAGCGACCGCGCTGGATTTTTTCGAGCGCGATCATGATGGATCGATTCATGCGAGATGCGTCCTTCCTACGAGTGATTTCCTAGCACTAGTGATCAATTGTATTTACCCTGGATTTATTTGAGGATTTTGGCTGACGCGCTTTCAATGGGAGACGACATTCTTGTCGACTACGAGATGTCTACAGCGACTTCATAAATGAATCTCAAAATGATATGCCGGCTTAGTCTTTCGAAAGTGCTATAGGTGTGCATGTGTGTTTTCGTAGGGACGAGGCCATGTTGAGCGTTTGCGTATGTACCGTGTTAATTTTTATTTTTTTATTTTGAGAAAATGTTGATGGCAAAGCTGAACCTTGCCTCAGCACCAGGCTGTTAACTTTGACTCTTGGCCACATCTTTGTCTAACAAAGCTGTATCCCCATTGTCCTTGGCTGGCTCCTCCGGTCTTATCAAGAAAAGAAAAACAGTAGACTACAAAAGCTTAAGCACTTGCTTAAATGAAAAGAAGACCCTACCAGCAAAAAAGAAAAAAGAAAAGAAAAGAAGACCCCACTTGGGCAGCCACTTGACAATACAGCCTTTCCCACAAACTCGGGGGCGCCCAAAGGAGGTTTCGGCCACGCGCCTTGATGCACGCGCCATCTCTGCGGCCTCCCGTGTGGCTCCATCGAAGCGATAGCGGCCACACAAACGTCGCCGCAGCCACGCGGCATCGTTGGTCGCGATTCGCGAAGGGTCGGGAAGCCCGAAACCGGGCGGCCGTGGTGGGGCTCGGCCGGGAAGGAGCGTGGGAAGACGGCAGATGCGGGGCACCTTTCCCTTCCTTCCCTCTCCGCGTCTGAGCTGAGCTGTCCCCATGGACGGCGACGCGGCCGGCCTTATCGCATCCACCCTCCATCCCCGCGATTTTGGGAGCCTCCATTCCTCTCCCCCTACTTAACAGCGCCTCCACCCCAACTCAACTCTCCAACTCAACACGCCAAGGCAAAGCACCAGTAGTCACACAAGAGAAAAGCAAGAGCAGCAAGCAGCACAGAGCTAGAGAAAAGAGGAGCGTCTCATCGGGAGGAGGAGAAAGAAAAAGCGAGCGAGGATGTGTGGCGGAGCGATCCTCGCCGAGCTCATCCCGGGCGCGCCGGCGCGGCGCGCCACGTCCGGCCATGGCCACGTCTGGCCGGGCAAGGGCGCCAAGCAGACCAAGGCCGCCGCGGCCGACGACTTCGAGGCCGCGTTCCGGGAGTTCAACGAGGACTCTGATGTGGAGGACGACGTCGTGATGGTGATGGAGCGGCGGGAGGAGGTGGCCGAGAGCAAGCCCTTCGTGTTCGCCGCTTCGCCCAAGAAGCAGCAGCAGGAGGAGGAGGAGGCGGCGCCCGTCCGCCGCAGGAAGCCGGCGCAGTACCGGGGCGTGCGGCGCCGGCCGTGGGGCAAGTGGGCCGCCGAGATCCGCGACCCCGTCAAGGGCGTCCGCGTCTGGCTCGGCACCTTCCCCTCCGCCGAGGCCGCCGCGCTCGCCTACGACGAAGCCGCGCGCGCCATCCGCGGGCCCAGGGCCAAGCTCAACTTCTCCTCCTCCTCTGCCGTCGCCGCCGCGGCCCCGGGAGCGCGCAAGCGCGGCCGCGCCGCGCCCCCCGCTGCCAAGCCAGCGCCGGTCATCACCCTCGTCGACGATGAGGAGGAGCACGCGTCGTCCTTCGTCAAGCACGAGGCCGAGGCGAGCGAGGGCTCCGAGTCCAGCGGCGCCCTCCCCGACTTCTCGTGGCAGGGCATATCGGCGTTCGACGAGGCCCCGGCGTACCCCGCCCCGGAGCCGGATACCGAGCAGCTGACAAAGCGGGCGAGGACGACGGAGGCGGAAGACACCGACGAGGGCATGTCGGCCCACCCGGCATCCGACTCCGACTCCGACGCGCTCTTCGACGCCCTCCTCTTCGCCGACCAGTTCGCCTTCTTCAACGGCGGCGCCTACGAGTCCCTCGACAGCCTCTTCAGCGCCGACGCCGTGCAGAGCAGCGCCACCGCCACCGCCGTGAACGAGGCGGCCCTGGGGCTCTGGACCTTCGACGACGACTGCCTCGTCGACGAGTGCAGCCTGTCGTTCTAGATCTTGTTCCGTGTGCGTCCGTTCATGTCATGAGATGCGGTGGTGTAAATAGAGTAGCTTGCCTTGTGATGAAATCCGTTCGTCCGTCGTCGCTTCTTGGATCAGCAAGCGATGATGGATTCTGTGTAAGAGTTTGACATCGTCGTGAAAGATTTTGCCTACGCCTTCGATGCAAAAGCTCGACTTCCGTTTCTGAAATGTTCTTCAAACAACTCTTCTTAACGAAATGTTCAAAATCACGGATCCATCAGGCAGCAAGTTGCTTGCAGCAGATAGGGTTCCGAAAGAAAAGCAAATGGGATCAACAAAGGTTGCAGGCTTTTCCCTGCCCTCCATTAACTTAAGCATCGCACTCGGATCTCCTCCCTCAATGCCGTGCCATATCGCAGTGTTGTGACAGGACGGGAACCAAATCCAACAAGAGCCCATGCCGTGCAGCTCGTGTTGGTCATTGTCACTTTGTCATGGACACATGGACTGAGGTGGAGACAGGAGCAGTGCTTTTGGTTGATCCGGGATGAGCAGTTGGCTGGTGAAGTTTATCTTGCTCGCCAAACAAAAAATTCATGTGACTCTTTTTCATAAACAATATTTGTAGCTATAAGTAAACCGTGGTAATAACTGCGTTAGAGCATCTCTAGCCCTTTCCCTGTGATGTTTTAATCCCCTATAAAATTTGTTTTGACCTCATCCAATGAATCTGTGTTTAGGTGAGGTGCTAAGTGATTGAAAAAATTAGCAATTAAGCTCATCAATACACAGGTGCTTAGTTTTTTAGATAAACTTCTTTTGTTTAAATTTTTAGCACAAAATTTCTTTGTGCGTTGGTTGATAGGAATTTTGCGTACGTCCGCGTCGCTTGACATCCGTTTCCTTTTGAGGTCATCGAAGTGTTCTCTCCTCGATTGCTTTGCCATATCAGTTTTTTGCCTACATGATATTCTTAGCATATGTACACAGTGAAGCACTAGAAGAGCGCTAGAGAATTAATGTCCACCGTCCCATATCTTTAGTGCTTAAAAACTACTCCCTCCGTCTCATAATGTTTGACGTTTTCTGACACTACAAGTGTCAGAAAACGTCAAACATTATGAGACGGAGGGAGTAGTTTCTTAACACTGAAAACATATCCGACATGTTTTGCTTTAGAAGAGCAACTCTCATTAAAAATAGAGGTAGCTTCTCATCCACATTCGTTACCACTGGGCTATAAAAGCCGGCGCCTCCATACCCTAATCCATCATCACCCTTACTCATTCATCTTCTTCCTCGATCAAATCGCGCTACCACTGCCCCGGCCGTGAGCTCAAGCTCCACCACCGTTGTCGAGCTCCAGCTCCACCCTGTCCGAGAGATGTCGAGATCCACTGCAGCCGTCGCCGCCGCGTTTCGCAAACTCCCTTGACGCCCCGCCCATGAGTTCCACCGCAACCATCATCGTCGAAATGCCGCATCACTTGTTCACGCAGTTCTCGGCCTACATAGTCGATGCATGAATGAATCAATTTGTCCACCTTGTTGCGCTCGTTGATCTCCTTCTTGTTGATGAACTAGTTATTGCTTTCGTCATCCATGAGGCTAGTGTCCTGCAACATGATCTCTGCAAGCCTCACCCTCTCCTTCTCAATCTCAATTGTCTCAAATATCTTCGTCTTCTCAAGATCCATTTTCAACAACCTCTCCTGCTTCTCCATGTCCATTCTCTCCCTCTCTATGGCCATACTCTCCAGGGCCCTCTCCCGGTCAAACTCCATCCTCTCCCTCTGTACATCCAAGAAGAGTTTGTGCCTCTCCTCCTCCATTTTCTTTAATGTTTCCCCCCTTGTTGGGAAAGTTGTCCGTCCATGTGACGAATATTTTGCTTGTCACGCCCCCATGCGCGAGTCTACCGTTCTCGCAATCCTCCCCATGACGTCTCTATTCCTCTTTTGCAAGGCCCCGTGTCCATCCGCCCTTTCACTTGGACCCTCGTCGTCATCCAATCCAATGGATTGGTGAGATCTTATGTCATTATTGTTCTTCATCTTCTTGGTGGGGTTCTTGAGATCTTAAAACAGGGTGCACCACTTCAGTTCCCCATTCAATTTCACCCAACGGTGGGGCATAGTGCACGACTCTTTCTCAACTTGATGGTACAAAGTGGTGGCCCACCCCATCTAGCAAACAAGAATCACTCAACATAATTCAAGAAACGAAACAAGCAATAAAAATGATGACCATGTGAAGCAAGGAAAACTTACATGGCTATGGATTTCAATGCCACTTTTGTGCCTATTCACCACTTCTGCATAGAAACAACAAAACTTGTTCAAACTCTTGGATGGCGGCCCATCTATGTTGTAGAGAGTCCTCATGGCAGGTGTGGATTGGATGCGGATCCACATGGTCCTTGTGTTCATGGTATCATCCATCTCAGAAGTCCAATGCATCATAATGAAACTACTGTCCTAAAATTGATCTGATAAATGCATTGAGGCAGGAAAAAACCTACATATTCTAGTCAGGACTTTCCTTGAATAGTTAGTGGGCATGTTTGATACCGAAGATTCCCGGTGTTTTCCACCGCTGTTGGAGTTGTGGTGAGTCAACACCGTGTCCGGGGAGGCGTCTAGGGGTGGATTAACGAGCAGCTCGGCTCGTTAAGCTCATGCTCGTTAAGGCTCGACACGTTATGCTCGTTAAGATTAACGAGCAGAAAACCCTGCTCGGCTCGGCTCGTTTGAAACTCGTTAAGCTCGTCAGCGCTCGTTAGCAGATTATAATGTGTTACGATATACATGATGAATGTGTAGGTATGATTTTGAAGATGAAATATGGTGACTACAAAAAGAAATCCAGTAGTTTGTTGCCTCATATGTCGATTCGATTAAATAGATGGGTTGAGGTGCTACAAAAAATTTATCAGGTAAGATGAAAATATGTGTTGTGTTGTTAGTAACAAGCTAAACGTGCTACTCATGAAACTCGTTAGCTCGCTCGTTAAGCTCGTTAAGCTTAAGGAGCTAAAATCAATGATTGGCTCTGTTCATTAAGAACCGAGCTACGAGATTAACAAGCCGAACTATCGAGCGCTCATTAAGCTCGTGAGCTACGAGCTTTTGGTCCAGCCCTAGAGGCGTCCGCTTTCCCGCGTGAAACTATCATCTGCGGGCGGCCCTCATTATTGAATTTATCCGCCTTTGATGCAACCAAATTCACTATTGACTTACGAGTTTATGCATGCTTCATTCCTATATCGGCATGTATTATCCATAGGCTGGTTGTGAGACATCTTCCTCTTAGTGCTACAAATGGCTTCTTCCTTAGTTCTTTATAGCTCTTTCACCTCTTTTAGACTCTTTGCAATGTTTAGTGCGGGGAACTCTACACTATTGTACTCAGATGCTATTCCTTCAAGAAAGTATTGGAAAGCAAAAAGGGACTCGTTCACCGTATCGCATCCAATACAGCTATGCCACAAGTTGACCTAACCAACTGGCAAACAAAACCCAAGTTAATGTATCGACCTAGGAATAGGATGAATAAACCATTGAATCATCATCCAATGGAGCAGAGAGCCTTCCTTTAAGAAAGAAATAACTCCCTACAACAACCGTGTTTCAAAACTCGATTCATTATCATACGAGAAATTGCATGAAAAGAACCTTCATTCCTACAGAGAGGTTGAAGCTAAGTTTAAAGACCTAGTACGGGCAAAGCGCAGTTCAAAACCGAAAGGATCAAAGAAAAGGGAATATCACGAAGGTAAGAGCCTGCGTAAGGCTTTGGCCAAACCCATCGGCTCCTAGCTATTGCATGTCTACCACCTAGGATCTAGAGTGGCCTCACAGACCAAGTGTAGTATTTCCTGCGCACTTTGTCTCCACTTGTGCGCACCCGGGATCAACTTCCTAGTCATTCACCCGTCCTCAAACTGCTCTATGCCAAGCACACTTAACTTTGAGGTTCCTTGCGAATGGGCTACGGGAAAAAAATCCTTGTTGATATGAGTAATCTATTATCCCTATTATGTCAAGATGTCACATATAGCCCCACTCCAAGGAAATGACGTCATCATCAACCCTGTATAAACATTCCCTATTGGCACATGATGTTCGTCCAGCCCGACACATGTCCCATGTTGTGTCCCACGACATGCCACACACACCACGCGCCACATGCTCGCGCACCTGACTCATAAACGCCCGTGTAACCACGAGGGTCGGCTTTGATTGCAGGCCCCAGGAAAACTCACCGGTTCCTGATCGTTGCGCTTGGCTACCACCTAGGATCTAGAATGGCCTCACATACCAACAATAGTCCTTCCTGCACACTTTGTCCTCATTCTTGCACACCCGGGATTTGCTTCCTAGTTAGTCACTCATCCTCAAATCTCTCCAAGCAAAGCATGCTTAACTTCGAGGCAAATGGGCTCTCGGAAAGAAGGTAATTCCTTATTGATATGAGTAGTCTATCATTACTATTAAGCCAAGATGTCACACTCGGCCATTGCGAAGCCGACACGGTGTCAGGCGCGGACCTTATCACGGGCATGGCAAAGGGCACAGATGCATTAAAATCCATCTATACATCGTCCTTCTCCTCGTTCTCCACAACTTCCTTCACCGTCTTCCAATGGGCGTGCCGCTCCCTCCGGGCGATACGCCTTGTTCACGATGGTAGGGACCGCACAAACTTTGTCGAGCCATCCTCCATGGTGCAGGTGGATGTTAGAGCAGGTCTCGATGGCTATGATAGAGGTGGATGTCGATAGAGAAGACACAAAGCAAGGGCGGAGGAGGGCGATGGTGCGAACACAGAAAAGGGAGTAGGGGATACGGGAGAGAGAGCGGTCGGCTGATTTGATCAATTTGGGGTTGGTCTGACTTGTCGAATCTGACGTGGCAGACGCATCCGAGCGACCCCAAATCCATGCAGCATATGAACTATGTTTGTGTGGTGGCGAACATTCCAGACATATAGACTGGATTTGAGGAGTTCAGTTGGGTGACTTCTTTTCT